TTTCCAACAACATTCCTTTCACCCTGGTGAAACAGATTCCATGGTCAAACACTTGGAAGCGCATACAAGTGATCAATTAAAAGAATCAAAATTAACCAAAGAAGTTCGAGCCAACTGTGAAAGAGATCTATCAGTAACAAGAACTCTTAATGAGACACAAGCCACTAATGGGGAATCTGTAGAGAACGGCACCTTACTTTCTCCAAATGGTGGATTAAAGTTACTTATTTCTTCAACCAAGGAATCGATGACTCTTGAGAGAATAGAGAATGGCCAAATGACCAATCCGATAACAGAAAAAGGAAGTGCAGGTAGAAAAACATCCAGCCATTTCAAATTTTAAAAAAGATTGCCTTTTTCCTTCCAAAATCCAAGAGGCATTGCTATAAGAATATTCATTCCCTAATTTTATTTTTCAGTAAAAAGATTTGGTATAAAACTTGAAAACAATTCTATAAAATTACGTCTGTATTTCATTTTCATTGGCGTAATCCGTGCATAACTGATGGTTCATCAGCAGATGAGGATTATGTCCTGTCGTCAACAACAAAAGTTTCATTGCTTACAGAATCAGATGTGGATAGCAAAATGAACGTATCAGGAGATACTCCACATGAATATGAGCAACATGTTGGAGCTGCATTTCTAACTAGATCTGTTGTTGAAACCAAAAATGCAAATTTCACAAGTTGTGAAAACGGTATATGAGCTGTCTTCTTGTCAGTTCACTATTAAATATCTGGTGTGAAATTCCCAATTTTTCTTACGTACTCTATCATCCTGGTTTTTGACACGGATACTTTATAGAAGGATTATGTTGCCTTGAATTGACAGGTGGAGCCTATCCTACTGAAGTTTCTCAGCATAGTATCACTACAACCAAATTGGAAGTCCATATGGGGGAGTCGCACAAAGTTAACAGCACATCATTGGTAAAAGACTCTCCTGTTATGCAAGGTAGACCAGTGGACATTGCAAAAGACATCAAGCAGGTGGCTTCGGAAAAAGATGCAGGTATGTTAATAAATCTTCATATTAATTTACTTTGTGATATTTAATGAAATTCATCTACGTATTGGGAGTAGTTATTTCTTGTCCTATCACGTGCACCATTGTCTTTATACTCACAAATCACAAGTACTCCCTAAATGTGATGCCATTAAAAAGACTCGAACATTGTCTCCTTTCCCAGCAGACAACTAATTAAAACGGTTGACTTATGTCATAAAAAGTGGTGGAAATTTAATAAACGAACTCTCTCAAGAGTCAAGAGTATCTTCAAGTTTATATGATGGTCAATTACTTCATGCTAATTTCTCCCCCCACCTTGCAGTTATTATTCTTAAAACAGTAACATCTTCTTAGGTGAAGAAAACTTGCTCAAATAACAAGGCACAAATCTCTCTTCTTATGGACTTCTTTTACCAGTAAAATATACTTTATCCAGATAACGTCGTCTGCTCAATCAATAGAACGACCTCATAGTTTTAAGATGGCATATTCATTGGTCTCACACTTATCCATCAAGTTTTTTGTCTTGTACATTTTGATGCAGGCTTACATACAGTACTAACTATAGATGTGCCACCAATAGAAGCAGCTGCTTCCCAAAGTCCACGAGATATAATCGTTTCTGCAGAAACACAAAGTGCATTGCATTCGGGGACTCAAATCTGTGCTGTTGATCGTGAAACCGAAACAAGAAAAGCTTATGAAATTGAAGTGATTAAGAGCATGGTATATGGTGGACTAGCTGAATCAATTACTAGCTTAAGTGTTGTGTCATCTGCGGCCGGGGGTGATACTACCACATGTAAGTGTTCTTCAAATCATTTTTATCGGCTGGTGGAACAATATGAAGTAATGTGTTCTCACAACATGTTTGGTACACAGTACTAGACAATATTGCATAGTATAATAAACTAACAAAATTTTAACCTGATTTCCTTTATTGTTCGAGTTGACTCATCCAATCTTAACCATCTCTACGTTTTGGTCGACCTTTCTTCGTGTTGCAGTGAATGTTATGGCTCTGGGATTTGCAAATCTGATTGGCGGACTTTTCATCATTATTCACAATGTAAGTAGTAATTTGGTTCAGGTATCACCTATCTGCACATTACCCATGTAGAGACCCGTTCCAACCGAATTTCTATCTCTGCCCCGCCCCTGCTCTTATGACATGTTTGCTAAGGTAGAGCCGATAGTGCTTGAGAGTACTAAAAAAGAGCTAAAATCTTCTCTATTGTATAATTCAGTGCCAACATGCATCTTATGTTATATGTACAATGAACAGCTTTGGGATCTAAAGAGCAACTACAGAGAACAAGTCTCCAATCAAATAACTGAGCGCGGAGATCGTTACAGAGAACTCCTCGGTCGAAGAGAGAATTTCGTGCTTCATGCAGCTGTTGCACTATTGTCATATTTCATATTCGGTTTAGTGCCTCTAGTGACCTATGGTTTCTCGTTACTGAAGAGTGACGACAAAGAATTCAAGCTTTTAGCAGTTGCGGTCGCTTCTCTTATATGCATTGTTATGCTAGCAATCGGAAAGGCACACTGTCAGAGTCAACCCCAAAAGTTGTACTTAAAAACAGTCACGCACTACGTTATTTTGGGGTTTATGGTTTCGGGTGTTTCATATGCTGGTGGTGTGTTAATAAAGAGACTCCTGGAGAAGCTTGGTCTGTTCCAGTCTGATTCAGTTCCTAACCATTTTCTGCCCGAGACAACACCAGCACACTCGGCATGGGCTTCTTACTGACTAATCTTGGATTCGTAATATTGTTCTATAACCTTTTCTTTCGAAAAAATGATGAATGAATCGAGAATTCATAATTTTGTTCAACAACATTTCTCTTCTAAGTAATGAATGACAAGGGATATTCCTGTTAAATGATGATGTTGCTCGAAGATGATCATCGGAGGATACTGTAATGCTCGAGCATCAACGTTGCACGTGATGCTCGATATCAAAATCTATGCATAACACTAGTTAAAAATGCTTCTTCGTCACCCTATAGAAAGTAAAGGGGTTAGTCTATTTGATAAAAAGGGTAAATTTTGAGGTTATCTGCAATTTCTTTCGAACCTTTTTTTGGCTATTGTATCCTCAACATTCAGAAAATAGGTGTCCAAATGCATGAATTTCATCCATCTTTCCGTTTTTCAACCTATTTGTTGAGGACAGCATGCATGCTTTGTTCCATTGTCCCGCATCAAGACGATATGGAAGGCAGCCGGCTGTTGGACCTTTATTCTATCCTCGCATGTCAAAAACACACTTTCAGTTTCTTTTTCACCAACAACTGGATAGGGACTTGGTTTAGTGGATTTGCTGTGTTTTTTGGCTTATTTGGGGGTGAGAAGAATGCGGTCGAACATGGCCGAGGGGCATGGGAGGCTGACCGCATCTTGGAGCCTGCTGTAGGGCTCTTGCTGGACGAGGGACAAGCTGTTGGGGGTGTTGATCGTCCCTCTAGGGAGGTGGAACCGCCGGCCATTTCATGGACCAAACCTCGGCATGACTCCCTCAAACTTAACATTGACACCATCGTGCTTAGGGAGGTGTTATCTCCCCCATATCTGAGGTCCCAGCTCGGATGCCACGTAAGCAACATGTCCACGTGGGGCCAAATGCCAGCTACAAGTAGTCAACGAGTCAAAAAAAACCCAGTAGGTCAGACACACCAATGAAGACAAGCAAGCCGAAGTCCTCAACACAATACCCGAAGTTATCATACGGTGCAATGAAATCCAGCTTGAAGCACCTCATCAGAGACGTGGCTCGGGCCCATACGAGGCCACTCAACTCGTCTAGGGCTCATGAAGCCGACGCTGCTTTCTTGTAAAAGGTTTGGAGATCATTGAAGTGATTGATGTAACGCTTGTAAAAAAGGTGTCAGTGTGTCAGCCTATGGTATATGGCGGCTAACCTCTTGTCAATGTATTAATTGTATGAGCAGACAGTGATGCGAAACTTTAGTTAGGGAGATGAAGCCACGTGGTTCTGATCCAACGGTCACCACGTCGGCCAAGACAGTATAAATAGGTCCTCATTGTAATAAGAAAAGGGTGAGAAAAAAGAAAACATACTATCCTATATTGAAGCCGTACAACCGAATTCTTGAAATGAACATATGAACACTTTATCTATCCTTACATATATTAGTTTGAGTCTAATCAAACGATTGTTGTTAGCGCAATCATCTACGTTCCACCCGTCGGAGCTCGAACAATTTCGTCTTTTGCCGCAAAGTATCTCCCGCATCCACGTCATCACTGCTACCATTATCAACCCGATAGGAACGCGCCGAAATCGTACTTAACTTGACGTGAGTGAACCTAACATCTGTTGATTCATTTTTAGGGGTCAACGGGAGGTATGAGTGGTTGGACTGGGAGTTGATATTTGGGACTACGGAGACGTGGCGATGGTTTTTCCATACCTCAATGCAAGTCTTTCACCAGAAGATTCCTAGGCTTTGCGCTCAGGGAGGGAATTTTGCTTGCAAGAAGAGGTGGATGGTGGCCGAAGTCGAATTCTGTCTTTAGTTCAACAAGTTAAATCTGTTCAACAATCTTTTTCTTCAAATGCTTTGATCCTTTCTAATGTTAGATCTATACTTAAGGAATGTCGAGTGTGGAACTTGTATTGTATTCCATTGTATTTGTGACTTTGGTGTGCGGCGATATTTGATGACACCTTGTTACATGAAAATAAAACGAGTAACTGAAGAAAGCATGTCTTCAAATGCAACCACAGTAATGCACATAAAACATTTGTTCAACACAGGATGTATTATAATATATTAGCACAAGGAACTCGATTGAACTTTAAAAATCCTATTATACAAAGTTGCTTTCATTAAAAGGTCAACAGGAAAAAGTTCAAAAAACTGCAGGGAAATGAAAACCGCATAACACAAAGTTAGACGAATCCACATCTAATTATTTAAAACTCGGTGAAAATACGAGCTTATCTATCCATAATCCAATTACGAACTCTTCCCATCGGATCCCTGATCCGCATCTTGCCTGTTCCTTCCTCTCATCCTGGCTTTAACCCGAGACTTTGTTACCAGCGTCTGCACTGTGTTGGCGAAATTCCCAACAGCCATGATGATGAGAAGAATCCCACAGGTAATTACCTGAAATGGGTACATCATAAGACCTAGCTAACTACATGTTTGGCAAATTTTACTTTTTAAGCGGGTCAAAATTAATTTTTTATCCATATATTTCAAATAATCCACAGCTTACCATACTCACTTATTATTCACATATTTATTTAGACCCACAACTTATAACCACTTAAAAGCAATCCCAAGCAAGCACTAAGTGTGGCATAAATGTAAATGGAACAGATCACTTGAGACCCTGAAATCAGACATTGAACTAAAGTTGCAAGTCGCGAAATTAAAGAATGACTTCGAAAGATGTCCATAAAAATGTTCATTTTCTCAGAGTCTTTACCTGCCAGTCAGAACTAAATCCAGCAAGTGCAGTTTTAAGCAACTTCAGTCCAAGGTATGCTTCAAAACCCTGAAATCAAACATCAAAATGCTTTCTACAATTATATCGACTTCTGATGTTTTAAAAGAAATGGGGAAATGCTAAGGGACCAAGCTTAACTTTTTTAGACAGTAATGTTTCTGTTAACATATACTTTATTGTTATAATAATAAGAAAAGATACCTGTAAGACGAAGAGTACAGGGCACAAAAACAATAACTGACCCTTCACACCAGCAGTTTCTCCCCAAACAACATCCATTCTCTTTGCCTACAATAAAAAGAAATACCTGAGTACCATCTAAAATAAAATATGGTAAGAAATCTTGCAGAATTATGAAAAAAAAAAAAGGAAGTACAAGAAGAAAAGGTAAAATTTTGGTGAGGGAATAGAAAAATAAAATAAGTGATAAAGCACACAATTTCTTGTTGGATAAACCCAAAGATTTCATGTGTACCTTTCCCAATGCAATACGTGTATACAGTCTTTGCCTTTGATATCTATTCTGAAGAATCATGGCAAACCCTTGCATTATTGCCCAATAGAGGAATAGCTGTACCCCAGTCTGAAATCAACATTTTCATCTTCAATCAACCCAACATGATCAAAGAAGAAAAAAAGAAAGAACTGCAAGCATATGAATATAAATCTGAGAGTTAGTGGGTTCTTGTGTATGTTTGTTCGTGTCATGAGAAATACATAAAACACCTGTCATGTGAATATTTTGTTTTCAGTTTACCTGAAAAGATGAAAGAAGAAAACAAGAAAAATAATAAATGCACACGGAAACCAATTGCTACAAGCACAGCATGTAATTCTTAGTTGGTGGAATGATGGATAAGTTTTTTTTGTGTTAAGCAACACGTAAATACCTGTTTCCGGGCACAATCTGGTCCCCTCTCTATCTCCCAAGTTAGACTTATGAGGGCCATAGCCATAGCACAATAGTGATGTTTAATCCACCTGCAGAGAAAAATAATGACTTGTTCAAAATGTTTTGTAGTTCCTGTACGTGAAAGAGAGTAAATACAACGAACTTTCTAGAATCATGACAAAAACAAAAGGAAAATATTGAAAAGAAATATATCTTCTGAAACTTTACGCTGGAGATTATTTTCCATCTTCATTTAGTAACTAAGAGCTCGTCTGTCAAGGACTTTTTTAAAATCCTATTCCCCCATAATCATATTCAATCATACATTCTATGGGACCCATAACTTTTCTCCACTTTTTAACCACACATTCTAAAAAAAAATCATTTTTCTTTTACTGATATCTGTACCAAACAAACTCTAAAGGAAACATATTAGCCAGTATACTACAATTGATCTTGAACATGGCTAGCTGAAGAAAAAATCTAAAATAGCTATAATAAAGATCTAGAAAATAATCATTGACGATTGGATGAAACTCAATAGCACACAATTTAATTACAATTATAAAATCCTATTGGACAATGTACCTCCATTCAGAGCCACAATTTCCAAATTTTTGCAATTTTTTTATTTTGTTTTGCTTTTGAACAGTAGCAGAGTAGTTCAACCAATTGCACCTAACGCAAACCTGGTGGAAACATTTAACTACACAGCTCCACCATCCCCCAACCCCTACAAATAAAAAATCTCAAAAGGAATTTTCAGAAACCAGATCACGACTAAAAACATCACAGAGAGCAAAGGAAGCATTTTTCCACATAAATGTTCTCGCACTTTAACATAAATGATCTTCCTCAGTTTGTTTCCCTTAACAGGAGAAGTTACTTCACAGCAATCTATAGTTTCCATATAGCTTAAATAAGTGAATGAAATGCACTAGAATAGTCACAAAAAAGATACAGCACGTTCAGACCTTCCATACAACCACATTCCCCACAATGGTCTGCCCCTTCTTGTACTCCAATTGATAAGTACACTTGTTTCATCTCCTAACTTATATTATTCAAGTTGAACACCCAATCACATGATATTCTACATTCAATTCCTGCCATAAAAGCAGGTAAACCAAAAAATAACTCCTGTGTCCAGATCAAATGAAACTATTATAGTGAACAAGCTCAGAAATTAACAGAGGAGAAGATAAAGATCTATTCCTAATAGTCAAATGAGATGCTGCAGCTTAAATCCCCAAAAAGAAAAAGAAGAGCATAAATTATATTAGATTACCATGGACGTATATCACTTCCATTGACTCTCAAAATGTTTTCCCTTAGAGCTAACCCCGTGTAAAGGTACAGCAACCACGCCTGGAGAAAGAGTTGAGTAGTAAAAAATAGATTCTTGTATACTTTCCGCAGAAAATGCATGACCACCAACAGATTATAAACCAGGGCAAGAAATACTTTTATGGACACAATACCTGGTAAAGTTGAACTGGCAATGCAGGCAGACATCCATCCCATATCCACGAGCTTAACATCAAAAGCAGTGACGGAAAAAAGAGGAATAAATATGCGGTTCTATCCTGTCATGAGATCATAGACAACGTCAATAACCAGGAAACTCACATTTCTACAAATACATGATTTTTTTGTTAAAATGACCGACAAAAGCATTAGATCTACAAATGAATCCATGACTAGATGCATCTAACTTCATTATTTCAACAATCAACAGCCTAAAGCTAATCAGACAACCACTAATGTAATGAGCTTCCTGTACTAAAAATCATCACCAGCCTAAGTACATATATTTCCCCAGTAGTACTGTTCTTTGTATGTCTAAGCAAAATTGAAATGCTTCGTGACTTTCCATACCTAGACTTCCTGGAGATGCTACATGCATTATAGTTACAATTAATACACTGACAAGTTAATAAGTTGATTAGGGGTGTCCAAAAGTCTCGAATCGAACCGGACCGAACCGAACCCGAACCGAACGGTTCTTCATAAAATAAATACCCGAACGGGTACCCGAATCGAGAACCGATGGGTTTTGGTCAGGTCTAGACCAAGAACCGAATAAGAACCGAAACTAAATAATTTTTTTATTTTTTATGTTGAATTAATTAAATTATTTTATTTTTTTCCTATACAAATTAGCAAATTAATTGAATAAATTAGATTATTTCATAATTTTAATTTTTAAGCCCAAATCATTTTAAAATCCATTAGCCCATTTTAATTTGAAGCAAATGAATATACTTTATGTAGTTTTGCTGTAATATTAATATCTACTTTTTGGTATTTGTATGCATTGAATTAATCTTATTGGACGGCTAGTTTTGTATATTTTTTTGAATTGGGCTACGTTAATTTGTAAAAGTTACGAATGAAATGTTATTAATTGTATTTATGTAGTGTTGCTGAAAATATTAAAAAATTTAATTATGGTACGGAACCGAACGGAACCGAACCGACCCGAACCGAACCGAACGGAACCGAACCCGAACGGTTCCATAATTATATTTGGACCCGACGGGTCCATTTATTAAATACCCGAAAGTTTTGGGTCGGTTCGGGTATCTTCAGAACCGAACCGAACCGACCCACGGACAGCCCTATAGTTGATTATGTCTTTTGGCTGTCTAAGCTTCTATCAAGAGAGCCACAACAAAAAAGGAAAATTAATGTACCCTGAAGTGATTGTATTCCTCTTTTACTTTCAACTGCACATCCTTCCTGTTAGCCCGAACATTAATGGGACCCAAAAACATCCTGAGAAACCTCCCTGCATTCACATAACAACATATACAAACAAAATTTCTTTAGTTCTGCTTGAAAACTAAATACGATGTACATAAACGACAAGAAAATTTATAAACTGAATTTAAAGTATAGAATAATCACACCATGAGATTTAATGGGAAGAAATGCTGCTGCATCTCCTTCACTCAATATATATTTTGCTCTAATTAACTCCTCTTCCAACTTCAAAAGAACAAAACCAAAAATGGAGAACATAAGCAATAACTAGAAACCATACATATGCTTGAACAACAATACATGCAAAATCCATACTCTGTCGGCGTGCTCAGTATTCCGGACGGAAGAGCGGAGGGAGCTGATGCGGGAATCGAGTGAGGCGACGCGGTGGCGGAGCACCTCTTCTTCACGAGATGTGCGGTTAATTAGAGCCGCCGCAGAGTCCTGCAAATCCTTAGCTTGCTCCACGAGTCTGGAAACTTCGCCGCCGACACCTTGATTCTCCCGCGCGTCCCCCATCGCTGAACCGATAATAAGTCCGAATTCAGCCTAATTTTATTTGAATTAACGATTAAACCGAACAATGTTTTTGTAATTGAACTGAATTGAATGTTTGGGGACAGTAAATTGGATATATGGGAAAATGTGAAAACAGGTGGGGTGGGAGAGAATCTAGAAAACGGTGATACACACGTATTATAAATTATAATTGATTTTTGGCTTATTTTTGGTGTGACTTCTTGGACAGTTGGAGTCTTGGACTTGTACCCAACACCTGGGTGCGTAGTGTGTACCACTACCACCCACCGCCTTGGGTGTGACCACGTGTGCGTTTGTGGGCATTCGATTTTTAGCCATATTTGACATCTTTGAAACTCTTTATTTTCTCAAACGCGTATTTAATCACTGAATCATAAAGTAAAATATTTTATACGTAAATTAATTTTTTTCTCTTTAACATTTTTCAAATAATCACTATTTCAAAATCTATTTATTTTTTTCTAAAAAAACTCATTTTAGTATGAAAGTTCAATTTAATATTGAGATTATAAAGTATATTTATATTTGACATCTTTGAAACTCTTTATTTTCTCAAACGCGTATTTAATCACAGAATCATAAAGTAAAATATTTTATACGTAAATTAATTTTTTTCTCTTTAACATTTTCCAAATAATCACTATTTCAAAATCTATTTATTTTTTTCTAAAAAAACTCATTTTAGTATGAAAGTTCAATTTAATATTGAGATTATAAAGTATATTTCCAGGTGGACGCAAGAATTTGGAAAACAAAATTGAGATATTTTTTAAAACATAAATCTTGTTTTAAAAGTATTATCATTTGAAAATAGGGATAATTGCAGCAACCGTCCTAAATCTATCACTTTTTGCAGACTTTACCTTAACCTTCACTTTTTACCACTCACGGTCTCAAACCTTTCAAAAATTAGCACATGAAATCCAACTGGATGATTTTTATTGGTTGACCGTTAGTTGACCAAATAAATTGACTTCGACAAATTTTAAAAGTGGTAAAATAGTAATTTTGAATTAAAATTTAAAAACTAAATAACAAAGGAAAAAAATAAAACGCAAATCATTGTTCAACTTCCTCTTCCCACACCCATCCCTCTCGATGCTACCCTCTCTGACACCACCTCCACCATCAATAGAATTAAAAAACCAACATTCCTGCACCCGGGGCACATCCAAATTGGCAAAGGATTGGCACTGCTAGGCTTGCAACCTCAGGGTGGGGAGTTCGATTTTTGGATGGAACAGTTGAGTGTTGTAATACTTAATTTGGGTGGAGCAGTTTGGTGATGTAATATCCATAGAGAAAGGCTCCCTTGAAACCAGGAGTATAAATGGTACACAGACCCTGATCAAATTGGGTATATCCCGCGGTTAACCTCCACCCATTATTGAGGGGCCGGGGATAGGTGGTCCAAGACATAGTCTGGTGTAAGCTAGTATACCTGGATATCAAAAAAATAAAAAAAAACCAACATTCTTTGCATACCATTGGACTCTCATTACATCCTTCATAATCTTCATATATTATATTTAATAATTAATAATTTGAGATTTGGGTAGAAATCTGCTATTGTGGTGGTGGTCGCTTCCTCTTTTTCTTCTCGTAGCTGATTCCTCGAGCTTTCGACTGCGAGTCTCGAACTTCACGCAAGTAAAGCCTAATTGCTTCAGCACCAAAGGGTTTGTTTCAGGCTTGCCTCCATTTTCTTCGTTAGGCGACCAATTAAGGTGTCGAGGCTGCCCCAAGCTTGGTGCAGGGGACGTGCATGGTGCAGCGGGTTCGGGTGGCCAAAGAAGGGGCAAAGCTGAGTGTGGACTTTAGTTTTCCCAAACTGATCTAAGTACCTCAAAAATTCAAGAACATAGGCGCCACTACACTGGGAAAGGGACAGCGGTGGGTGGTGGTTCCTTAAGTACTGCCCAGAAGTGTTCCAATCTCGACGCTTCTGGTTCTCGTATCGACTTAGGGTAGTCGACGATGGAGAGATGGAGGATGGTAGAGGTGGTGTCAGAGGGGGTAGCATCGGGAGGGATGGGTGGATGAACAATGATTTGCTTTTTATTTTTTTCTTTTGTTATTTTGTTATTTAATTTTAATTCAAAATTACTATTTTACTCCTTTTAAAATTTGTCAAAGTCAATTTATTGGGTCAACTAACGGTCAAACTAACAGAAATCATCAATTTGGACTCCAGTGCTAATTTTTGAAAGATTTGAAACTGTGGGTGCAAAAAAAAAGTGATAAGTTTGGGACCGCCGGTGCAATTATCTTTTTGTAAATTGTCCTAATAAATTTTCTTATGAGAATTTTTTTTTTTCAAAAATTAAACTAAATCAATTTCAACTTTGTCCAAATAAGACCAGTTTAATGAAAACAAAAATTATTTCTTTGCTATTTTACCAAATTTAGAATGTTGTAAATGATAAATATTTTCATAAGAGAGATGCTTTATTTGTTTCAAAAATGATCATTACTCTTTGCAACCTTTCCAAATTAAATGTACTAAATAATTAGTCTCTTAGAGCTTGTTTGAGAGTTCCGACGTATTAGTTACGAGCGTTCTTTTAAATATTGATTTTGAGCATTTTTGAGCAAATCGATTATAAGTGATTTTAGTAATTGTTTTTAAAACAATTTGAACCTTACTTGAGGGTCTATTATTCATTGGTTCTGAAAGTTTTTTTTTTTTTTAAGTAAAATTATATATATGTCCTTTAATAAAATTTTGAATTTATGGTTTCTTGTATGAATTTTTTACTTATAAGTAATATTTTACTTGTATGTAATTTTTTTACATATTAGTATTTGTGGTTTCTTGTAATATTTTACTTCTAAGTAATTTTTTTAATTATGATATAATTTTTTTTGTTGATAAATATATTTTTTAGTTAGTATATTTTTATTTATAAGTTAGTATTAAACAAAATATATTTGTTGGAAATAATTATTTTATAAATGATAAAATTAGAAAATGCCAAAAATCTTTGATTTGGTGGGTTGGGGGGAGCTGGTCAAAATTACACCACCGTTTTTGAGTAATTTTTAAATCATCCAAAATCGATGCCCAAAAAATTTAACAAGCACTTGTTCTTCTAACCCCTCGTGAATGGTGCCACAAAAAATCAATAAAAATAAAACTCCCAGGCAGGCCCTTAAGATGTATAGACAATTCTATTATGATGAAAAGTTCATGTCCAACACGAAATCGCGTCATGTTGGGTACAAAAACTCATTAGACACTCTACGACATACTTCTGATAGTTCACATGCCGTGCCCTATCTTTTTCATATATATATATATATTAGAAACGATCTCCTAAACACTGGTGCTTACGTTATCCTAAGCACCGGTGACGTGGCAATTAACTACTAACAAATTTAATCATTAGTGTGGGACCCATCATCATTTCCCAAACAAAATAAATTCACACAGTGGCGAAGCATGATTTTTGTTTAGTTAAATGAATTAATTATGTGGGGCTCACCACTATCCCACAAATAGGTAATTAAGAAATTTAATCTTAATCACAATAGAGTCCACGAGTCATAACCAATTTCAACGTCTTCTTCAAAAGGAAAAGCCATAAGAGTTCATCTTTAATTTCTCTCTTACCCTTGTTCAGATTGATGCACGTTAATTAAGGTAAGATTATGTGCAAATATTATGTTTTTTTAATGAATGAATATATTGAATGATGAAAATTAATCTTTTTCCTCGATGGGTAATTTTCTTTTTTTCAAATGAAGTTCTATTTTTGTTTTAGATTGTTCTTACTCACCATGTTCAACAGTTTTATGATATATAGAAAATAATATTTGATGCTAGCTCGGGGCGAAATTTTTCATCCTAATTCTATGAAGTTTACAAGCAAAGTTTTTTTCCCTTCTTGAAATGAGGATTGAAACTAACCACACACCAATACTATGAGAGAAGGTAAGAATATAAAGTTAAGATTGAGAGAATTTTAATTCCATAAAATGTTAAAACCAGCAAAGTTTGTTTTGCGGCTCCCATAAAATGAAACCCACAATTAGGACTACTATAGCATATCTTAAATCTTCCTAAACGATGATTAATGAAAATAATCATAGTTGGTTCTTGTAAAGTTTTTTTTATATTTTAATTGGGCTGGATATTGGAAGGTTTAGAATGTTATTAATGGTTCTTTTTAAGGAAAACAGTATTTTTTGTATCTTTATATGCTAACAATAATTAGTTACTTTTTTTTTTTTAAGGTCAACGCATTTAATCTTATTGAGCATGGAAGAAGAGATTACAACCCAAACATTCACACCCCAAGTTGCGAAGGATCACAAGCCTAAAGTTGGTCAAGAATTTGAATCAATTGAAGTTGCATATGAATTTTATAACAACTATGCAAAAGAAGCTGGATTTAGTGCTAGAATGTCAACTAGAAAGAAGAGACCAGGTACGAATTAGCACATCCTAAAAAATTTTGTACGTTACAAAGAAGGATAAACAGATGAAAATTATCAGAAAAAGTTAAAGCACGCAATTCAAGGGATTGGTGAAATAAATCGAGGAATCATTCGTGTAGGTTGTAAGGCTAAATTAATTGTGGTTAGGAATAAATCATCTCTGAATTGGATTGTTAGTAGCTTCTTGGAGACTCATAATCATGCACCCATGACTCATTCGAGAGTACACTTATTGAGGTCGCATCGGCACATTTTAAATGCGAAGAAGGCTTTGGTACAACAATTATATGAAGCAAACGTGTCGACCAGTCAACAAATAAGTTTGATGGAAATTGAATATGGAGGTATTCAAAATATTGGATGTACAGAGAGAGACATCAGAAATTATGAAAGAGATCTGAAAGAAGAAATGAGGGGAATTGATGCGGAGTCGTTGATCGAGACATTTGCTTTAGAGAAGGAAAAAAATCCAGGTTTTTACTTTGATTTTGATAAAGACAGTGATGACAAATTGGTTATGTGTTTTTGGGCTGATTCTTTCTCAAGGAGAGCATACAACTTTTTTGGAGATGTAGTTGTTTTCGATGCAACGTACAACATAAATAGATATGTGATGATTTTTGCTCCATTGACAGGAGTTAATCATCACGGTCAGACAATAATATTTGGTTGTGGATTTTTAAGTGATGAGACGATTCGTTCGTTTGGTTACTCAAGCAATGAATGAATGCCATGCCTAGGGGTGCACCCCAAATGATCATCACGGACTAAGATCCTGCAATGACAAGAGCAATTGTACAAGTTCTTCCGAATATATCTCATCATTATTGCATATGGCATATTTTGAATAAATTCTCTGAAAAGCTTAACACAGTAATTTATCGAGACAACTACCATTTGATGAGAAACATTATTATGAACTCAGAGGATAGTGAAGAGTTTGAAACTAGTTGGATGAATATGTTGCAATCAACTAAATTGAGAGATAAGATTGGCTCCACCAAATATATGAGATGCGTAATAGATGGGTCCCTGCATTTGTTAAACATATTTTTGCAGCAGGAATGTCGAGTAGTCAAAGAGCAGAAAGTTCTCATTCATTTTTCGAAAGGTACATTTCAAAAAAAAAAAAACTCATTGATCGATTTTATTATACGCTTTAATAGAGCCCTAGGACACCAAAGGTATCATGAGTTGATGGCTAACCATTGTGATATTAATGAACAACCAAGGATGAAATCCTTTTATGGCCTATGGAAGTTCAAATGTCAAAGATTTATACAAGAAAGGTTTTTCAAAGTTTTCAAGATGAGATATTTGAGAGTCAAGCCTACGTCATACATACCTTATTTGAAGATGAAGCTAAGGTGATTTATACAACTACAAGGGTCGAAGAATCTTCTTCATCAAGATGTCGAAAACTTGATTATAGCAAGTGTTTAGATGCTATATGTTGTAGTTGTCAACGATTTGAATGTGAAGGAATTCCATGTAGGCATTTGTTGGCATATTTCAGGATCCAACAAATTTTACAATTGCCAACTCAATATATTCTCTAAAGGTGGACCAAACATGCGAAAGTTGGCCAAGTATGGGACAAGGATCATGGAGAATTGAATGACATTCCTAACCAATCATTGATGTCATGACATTCAAATTTGTCTCAATTTTTGTCCATTGTTATTGATGATGCATCTCTTACTGATGAGGGAACTAATCTCTTGAGGAATGGGTTGGAGGATCTTCACAACAAAATAAAGGAGATTCGTAATGGAAATAGTGTTGAGCAGGTATTCATGGGACAAAAAATCATCGAAAAGCAGATAATCATCAATGAACCACTACAAGTAAGAGCCACAAGTTGTGGAAAAAGATTTAAAAAATCAAAAGAGAAAATAGTGAACAAAGAGAGGGTTTGTCATGGGTGTGGATTATGTGGTCAATCGCACGATAAGCGAAATTGTCTGACATTACTTGAAATGTATTTTTTTTTTCATATTTTCATGGTTAATACAATGTTCTTATTTTTCAATTTTATATCTTTTCTTATTGTTTTCTTGTTTTGCAGATAATTCATTTTAATTCTCAATGTGCAAGGTTAGACATTTTAGAAGGACACTAATTTACAGATGTTGTAGTATTGGCGATTATGGGGAAAATGACAGTGTATTCTAGACTTATTCAATCAAAATATTGTATTTCATCGTTTCAATTTTTTCCAGTTGAACTTGAATGCTATGGAGAATATTTCCATGCCTAATATCAGTTAGATGCTCCATGTCGTTTATTTTATTGTTGGCCCCACATTGATTTAAGATAGTTTAAATGCATTTCTACTGAATTTTGGAATCACTTTGCAAATGCATTCTAAATTTACTGTCGTAATTTAGGAATCACTTTGCTGCAAAATAATTAGTACATGAATAAATAAAATAATTAAGTGAAATATTTAACCCAATCTTTGCATTAAAATAATTAGTCTATGAATAAATAAAATAATTAAACAATTAGGCGGTGACTAATCTTTGCACATGTAAATAAGTGAAATAGTGAATTTAAGTGTGACAAATGCACGTTAATTAA